TGAGGCAGTTTTGCTCAAAGTCCACTTTGCTCCCCTCTCTCCCCACCTCCATGTGGTTACTGAATACCAGGCCACGATAAAATTATAGAGTCATTTTTAAACCAGTTAAAAATGCCAATTCAGTAGATTGCTCTATTTGAGTTAGCAAGAACAAGATGTATCTTTTTTATTGCTTTTGACTGGTGAAGTACAGGGTTTAGGCCATGTTTTGTGTGGGCCATAAAGTTATATTAATAGATTGGTTAGTGGTCAGAAGTTCTGTATGTGTAACTAATGTGTAAAAAGGAAAAAAATCCCTGAAGTAGAAAGGTCATGGTATCTTCTCTTTTGTTGCTTCTCTTACTCCTTGGAGAGTTGCTTAATCTTGTATGCAAATTCTCATTCTTTATACAGAACCGAGGGGATTTTTGGTAGTGGTGTTGTTTGGGGTTTGTTGGTTGTTTTTTTTATTTTCCACAGAACATCCAAAAAGCTAAAAACTGCCATCTTGCCATCTAGGAAAGTAGGAGACAATTCTTTTGATTATCTATGCAGCAAGATAAGCTAGCAGAGTGGAAATATTCATCCCTACTTGGTAACTCTTAATTGCATTTTCAGAGTAGTTTCCTCCTTCTGAAGGGACTAGGACCATTAGAGAACAGAAGAAATGGACGGAATTTTGATCTCCACTGGTCTCCATCCATCAAAGCATCAAGAACAGGCTGTTCTCTTGAGGGCTGCTGTGGTTTCTTCCAAGAGAGAGGGAAGAAGACAAATGTCTGTGGCACGCAAGGAAATTGAGCAACATGCTGAGTTCCCTTTTTGTTACTCCCACATTTGCCCCTATACAGCTTACACAGTTTGGGTAGTCTGAGGGTGAATGGAAGCTAAAAATGAAAATGCATGGAGGAATTGGAAAAGATTGACTTGTGTGAGAGGGTCAGTACAAAGCCATTGCATCATGCTGGACTTAAAAGATATTTTGAACAGGACTTGAACCAAAATATAATGGGCCAGAATTTCTCACAGTGGGGAACCAGATCTCTGAGCAGCGTGAATTGTCCAATGGAAAACATGAGATGAATATCACCCATAATGAATTTTTAGCAGGATAACTGCTGTCAGTTTTGGCTCAAAGGTTGTCTTTAGACACAGAGAAGCTCTGACTAGCTTCTCATAAGAACTATCTGACTTCTATAATATGTCCTACAAGGGAAGAATGTTTTATAACTGGAAGACATGTATTTCAGAACCTGTTGTTGTTGTTTTACTATTTACATACCATACCATACTATTTTCTGGGGAAAACTATAGGGTATTTACAGACAAACCCAACCACCAACTGCAGACTGTCCAAATTAAAATAAATGACAATTACATAGCACTTATCCCTTTAAAAGGATTATTTAAAGTTCCTGGATTTCAGGGAATAAACAATATAGGAGAAGATGGAAGGAGGATTTAAAATACTGAAAAGCATCTTTGATATTTTTTATTATGCTGATTTGGTATACTGAAAGGGAAGGGATGAAAGTTTGTGCATTGATTTATAGAAATTACTTGATCGGTCCTTGTGTGGGAAAACACAGTTGTTTGTCCCCTGCCCACGCCTCCATTAGATATTACTGAGCAAATTCCTATTTGCTTAACATATCCACTGGTAGCTCCTGCATGAATCAAGCGAGAAAAACCACTTAACTTTATAGGATGGTATCAAAAGTCAATAGCGTATTTTCTCCTGGTAGCTTTGCATTTACTTTAAAAGCCTCCCTTCACCTGGAAATAAGGCCTGTTCCTATCTTCACAAAGTAGGTGTTCCCTGACGCTAATGCAGTGACTGACACTACTGAAACTAATAGTTCCACTCTCTTTGCAGCCAGGAGCTCCTAAATCTGCTTTTCGTTATCAGTATAATGGGGTTGGATATGTTTTTAAAAGGTGGTGCCTATTGATTACTTAATGGAAAAAGTTAGTATAGAGAACTGCTGAAGCAGCCCTATTTAGTGCTCTCCAGTGCAGCAAGACCATTATCTACAACAGTGGAAATCATCCTGTAACCCTTATTAATATTTAATAAGGATGAAGCAACATTGAAGTACACTACGAAATAGCCCAAGGCTTCTGCACATGTAGGATATAAGGTTGTTTCGAGGGTTGAAAACGAATAACTGATTTCCCTGTGCTCAAGCTGTTTATAGGTAACACCAACAATAAACAATGTTTTTCCTCTTGTTCCTTTTAAAGTATTTGCAGCACATCTGCACTTTAATATACAGTTATTCCTACTAGACATATTGAAGTGATTGAATGCAACAGAAAGGTCAGTGTATGTTTAGAGATCGCTGTGGGAGACTATTTTATACTTTCCCAGTATTGCTGTGAATCCCAGCCTCCCTCTCTATCCCTCTCACTCCATGCTGCAGGGCACATTTGGCTGGGTTGACAAGCTAGTGAAAGGTGTTAATCCTGTCTAATAGAACCATAATCCTTGGGGCTGTGTTTTTATATCATACTATTGAGCTAACCCCTTGTCACAGGATATTGTTCATCTACTTGATAGCAAAGTTCTTTATGGGAATTTTAGATAAAATTAAAGTGTGCAATCCAAATTGTCCTTTTCAATTTCACAAGGTAAAAACAAACAAACAAAACCACAATGTTTAGCCAACAGAGATTTTCTGAGAGATTACAATCAATTAAGAGGAGAGCTGTGTGGGTTTTTTCATTTTTTTTTTCTTTTTTTTTTTTTTTCATTTTTTTTTTTTTTCCCCTTCAGTGAGTAGTGAATGTCATTTTACTTGTCCAAAAATATTCACAAATCTGGGTCAGTTTCTTCAAATAACCTTTGGCTGGAAATATTTTTCAGGTTAGATGTGCCCAGAAATGTAGGGGAGAAAAAAAAATGTTATTTCTCTTTCTCTTGAGCTGTACTGCTTAGAACATGGAGCCAGAATGTGTGTACACTTTTCTCTTCCATTTGTCTGTGCTCAGGCCTCTCCCCCTGCTATGTTGACATTAATTTTTTTGGGGAAGGTGGCAAAGCTGGTTAATAAATAAGTTTGGGAAAACAGGGAAATATAACAGCAAGGAGCTTTTATTTTCTGTTGTGTTCCAGGGGATGCTGATTTTATTCTTCTCAAATGGAGATTTTAAGACAAAGTATTTTCACATGGCTTCCTGTAGGGTTTTTTGTCTTTTTTTTTTTTTTTTCCTCTGCAAACTACTTTTAGTTTAAAAGTGGCTGCATGCAAGAGAAGGGAACTAATATGGAGAGAAACCTTGTGATTTATGAGCAGGGACTGAAAAAGATGGGGTCCTTCCTGGGTGAAAACACCCATGGCCAAGAGATTTCTCCTTAACTTCTCTGGAAGCTGGTCCATGCCTGTGTGACTGCACTACAAAGGCAGGCAAAGGGACAGCCTATTAAAACAGTCCTTTTCTCCTCCTCTTTTGTTGCCCAAAGGATGATCTACCTCAGTTGCTTCTGAGGCTACCTCATGGAAAGTTTTGCCCAGTGAAGAAGATTGGAACTCTGTAATAGTAGAGCCAGGAGCTCACAGCTCTCTTGTGTTCCTGTTTGGAAAGCAAAAGGAGGTAGCTGGAGATTCCAGGTGAAAAGGGCACAATGGGTCCTTTAAAAACCTGGGGGAAATGAAAAGATGACTCACGTTGCTGGGGGTGGGGGAAGAAAGCAATGGAACAAGGAACTAGTTTGGCTGAAATCAAGGGGGCAAGGCAAAATGATGAATAAGTACAGGAAAAGCTGTACTTAGCTGTACAAGCCAGGTAGTCTGAAATCACTTATTAAATCAGTCAGGATGTATTTATTTTGTGGTTTGCTATTTAGTTCAGGGTTTCTTTTTTTCCTCCAGAGGGGATTTTGAATACTCAAAAATAGACTGAGATGATATTGCATCGTATATAATAGTAAACCCTGCTCAAGAATTCTGATGCTGCATTAAAGACTTTCATTTAGTATGGAAGAGTGAAGTACTTAAAAAAAAATGAGTCATTCTGGATTTAGCTTTGAGTATTGGTGAAGACATAAAAACAAGCTCTTAAAGACACTGTAGAGTGGATAGATGTACAAATTCTGGCTGTTATTAGAGCCACACTTAAAGGGACTTCTGACTTGCCATCAATGCCAATTTTATGCATTTTGCCACCATGGGTAGCTCTGTGTCAGACAGCTCTGTCTGGGCATGTCTGACAGGTATTTCTGCATGACCTCTCACCTCAAAATCTGCTGTACCACTTCCCTGCTTTCCATGCCACTTATCTGCATGCAGAAGGGGTGAAAATTGGAGGGAAGTAAGAGCAATCCATTCACAGTCTCTTGATGCACAGCTCAGGTGATGCAGCTTCTCTTCCGCTAAGTAAAGCTGTGACACGGGAAAAAACTGTACCCATTTATGTTTAAAAATCAGACATTCTAATTGGACAATTGAGAAGAAAAACACGAGGCCTGCCTGATTATTCTGTTACTCCCTCTGCAACGTATGCATTTTAGACAAGATGTATTTACAATCCTCGGTGGTCCTTGCTGATTCCTGTTGGAAAAGAACCATAAATAGTTTCCCCAGCTGCAAAAGTACACTGTATAAATTGTCACAATTTACACCACCGTGCCTGGGTCTATACCTTGTATCATATTTATGGAAACAGCTTTTTTCCCGAGCTCTTAGACAGCAGTGTTTCTGGCCTACAACTAGTGCATAGGTATCTGAGTATAAGTAATGTGAAATAGATGTAGAACTCCTAATCATATCCATTACCTAATTAGTATTTGGAGCGGTATTGTTTCTCTTTACTCATTTTTCTGCTTCTGGCTGAACAGTCACAATTTTTTTTCCCCTCACAGTCACCTTCTAGTTGGTTTCTAGCTGGATGTAGCGGTTCACGGTCCACTGATATGGGAGGAATTTTTAACACAAACAGATGACTTGACAGTTGTATTTAAGTCTTAATAACAGAACAAAAGACCACCAGTGAGTCAAGGTTTGTCTTCTCCTCTTTTACAGCGCACAAGCAGCTTTGGAAGCTTTGACCGTTTCAGGCACCACTCGATATCAAAGACAGATGATTCAGCTGAGGTCTGTATAACAGAAAGTTTTAATTTCTTCAGTTTGCTTTCCCATGACAGTTATGCAAAAACATTGGGAAACTAACGTGTACATTTTACACTGGTGGGAACTTTGCTCGTGTCCCTGAGCCTGTCTGGGTGATTGAGGCCTTGCCAAAATGAACAGGACAATCACACCTAAACTTTAGCACTTTGGTGTGAAGATTAGAAACAATTTTTCAAAAAAACCACAAAAGTGCACCTCACAGTGGTGCATGCCCAAAGTAACCAGCACTTTACAAGTAACCCACAAATATGTCACTTTTGTTTTCAAGACCCCTGCAAAAATCCCCTCAATTCTTACTTGTATTAGGAGCAATAAATAATGGCAAACAACATTTTCTAGCATAAAACATACTTTCTTTCTTTCATTCACACATACACTGGTGTGCTGCAAACCTGTTTATGTACATGATTTCCCAGGAAAATGGCCATGACTGACTTTTATCCTGCTAACTGTATTAGTGTCCTTAATATTTCCCTGTAATTCCTATTTCACTACACTGCCTTTTACTTTCATGGTGAGTTATTGCTTACTCTTTTATTTCAAAACAGATCTCTGAGCTGGAGACTATAAGTGACATTGGAGAAACAGTACAAACCAAAGCAGCAAATAATGGAGGAAGTCTGAGTAAGAAGATGAGAGCCATCTCACTCACCATGAAGAGAAAGATGGGTAAAAAGTACATCAAGGCACTCTCTGAGGAAATGGTAAATACAACCTAAGAGTCTTGTGTTTGTTGACAATGCATGTGAAGTAAAAATTTTCTGTGAATTTCTCCCCTTCATGTCTCAACTATCGTCACCTATGACAATCCATAAAAACAGGGTAACACACACTGAATTAAACCAGCTTTTGGTATGTACCCTTTCTTTTATGTGCATGTTAGTGTACAAATACACACACAGCATCACATGGTAAGGGACTAAGTGGAGTTCTACATCACTTAATTTCACTTTTTCATCAAGGATCATGTGTACAAGCAGTGCAAAAAAATGTCCTGATATGGACAGAAGGGAGTATCGACTGAACCCCATCATCAGTCTCATACTGAAGTTGTAAAAAAAGCCCCATTAGAAGAATTTATCTTTCAATACAAGAAATATTTCCAAAGTCCATTTTGTAAAGGTCAGCCAGCATCCCAGAGAATGATAACTCATATGCCTTATCTCCTTTTACCTTATCTAATCTTAGTGAAACTATCCTTATTAAACATTAAAACTTACTGCAAACCCTGTTTTCTCAATACATTGTGTCAGTGTGTTCCAAATTAAAAAAAAATAAGGAAAAAGAACTTATCACACTTAACAATCCTAAAAAATCTAGCTGCTCTGCATCCTATCTCACACATGTGTCAATATCAAATAAGTAGGGAAAATAAATAAGAAATCTCACAAGTAGAAAACAGTGTTTCACAGGATACCTTTAAACAGTTTTCGGAGGTCAAAGACAAGGATCCCTATTTCATTAGTTTAGGGTTTTTGGTTGTTTGTTTTTTTTTTCCCCTAAACTTTGAGAGGTGGCAATCCATGTTGTTTATATTATATTTTTATATTTACTATCTACACAAATTCCCATTATAGAAATTCAATGGATTATCTGGTTGGACACACATGTAGCATGATCTCCTTTCCTGCAGGAGATGATGACAATCAATACCAGCCCCCATGACTAATCTATTGGTTGTGCTGCTGGCTGGTGTAACAAGCACGGTCCTTGTTGAAAACCAGTATAGTCTCATTTCAGTGCCATGCCTGATATGTGCCTGTATGGGCCTCTACTTCATCCATGCACCATCATCTTTGCTTCACTGCATCATTATAACTAATGAATAACTAATATTTCCCCAAATACAATGTAACATCCTAAGTACCGCAGGAAATTTCAGTTGCATCAGGATATCATGCACACTGACAATGTGATGAAATCCTCTGAAGAAACTCCTTCCTTTGAAAGCTCATCACTATTTCATTTAGCTGCTACATCATCTCTAACTTACCTGTGACCAAAATATGGGTCCTGTTGTTTTGAACAGGCTTGTGATTCCTGAGGTGTGAGGTATTGGTATAAACTCAAGGGGCCAATTTCACACACCATTAGATTTTGTGAGAGAAACCTGCATCTGTTAGTTCTGAAATGCACTGGATTTTGAGGCCAACGTGTAGGTTGGGCAGCATGGTGAGCGCAGTGCTGGAACACACCAATGTCATCCGTGTGTGAGAGAGCTGTCTCCCAAACACCCCGGCCACAATTTTCAGAAGTTCAGTGCAAAACACAGCTGTGTCAGCTAGAACTTCACCATGTGCTTTCAGAATTGAACTTTACATTTCCTTCTCTGAGACAAGCAGAAAAAAACCCACCTTATCTGTCTACCTACAAATTTCCCATTACAAACCTTTGTCTCTGCCATGGTATATTGCAGCCTTTCGAGAGGGAGAATCGGAGTAGCTGTTTGAGCAGGGGTGGAATAGAGTGAGTGAGACAGAGACAAGACAGAGAATTTCTCCAGGGTTCTAGGGGTGAGTGCTGGGCACCCATAGTACCAGGCATTCAACTTCTAAAATGCTTTCTCTGACAGAGTGGTTCTTAATAAAGTGCAATGATTAATTAATCTCCAATGATGATTTAAAAAGAAAAAAAAATATGTTTATCTAAAATACATTTCTTGGGGGTTAACATCTGATTTTTGTGTTAAAGAATGAAGAAGGAAAAGACGACAGTGATCCTGGTGGTGGAATACACACTGAGAAGGTATCCCTAAAAACCAGTGACTCTTTGGAAAGTCTCTATAGTCTGAACAGTGGCCAGAGCTCATCTAGTAAGTACAAGATATCTATACTTCTTATTCAGTCATTTGATCAATATAGTTATTGTTTAAGTCTGCAGTATCGGAGCTGGTGATGGTAGAGAGCTCTTCAGTCTGGCAGACAAAAGTGTAATTTGATTAAATGGGTAAATTGATTAAATGGGTAGCAGCTAGATACAGCTCTGTCCAGAAAGAAGCTCAGTGTTTTCAAGAGTGGAAATATTAACTGAATTTAAAAAATCGCATGGATTATAGGGGATGTTGCTGGTAAATATGCCACAATTTTTTTGTGGGGTTATCACTGCTGTAGTGCTGTCACCCACAGGGTTGCAATCACTGGGTGCAGCCACAAAAACATCCTCTCTGTGAGTAGTGGCTCTGAGTTCATCCTTTGCCCTGCAGATGAGAGGCAGACAGGGAGAGGTCTCTCTGAGATGACAGGTGGTGGGGGTCTGACCTGGCAGCTTCAGGTCATGATGCAGAGAGACACAGCTCACTTGAAACCCACTGAAACCCCTCCCAACAGGGTAGTCTTGGCCAGAGGGCAGATGAATCTCTAATGAGAAGTTTGCCTCCACCTCTCCATGTGCTGGTCTGCTGTGGACGTTGGCTGGGCAGGCCACAGTTAGCCGTGATGACATTGCAGTGCCACCCCTGCAGGCACTGCTTGAGCCCTGACTGCAGACTGGAGCTGCAGTCCACACCATTTGCACTTAGCAGTTAATCTGGCCCTGAGATGGAACTGTGCACTTAAGCAATCATCTCAAACAAAACCATTTTTATGATCATTTTCTATGATGTGATTTGTGAAAATCTTATATGGGAGTTTACTTCCAACACGCTGCTGCTCTTATCTAAAAACATATTTGGATGGGATATTGCAGAGCTTGCTCAAATTTGCTTGAATTACTCTGCTGATATTTTATTGCTCAACTTGGATAAAATGACAGGCAGAAATGTTGATAAGATTAAAATTTCCCCCTGCAATGCAGGTTCCTTTGATGTTTCAGCTAGCTCTGTAATGAAATAAAATAACTTCTACAGTACTTGTTTTCATTTCTCTGAATAAACAGGAGAAGTTCAGCAGAATTAATTCCCTAAACTGCACTTTTAGGGTACATATTATTAATCTGCAGAGGTAATATTTCAAAAAGTCTGTAAGTAAAATGTGTAGTCTATTAGTATCATCACCAGAAAAAGATTACTGTAGGGAAGATATTAATGAAAGATCTCCTACCCATTTTCTTTGGTCTCTTGTAGTATGATTTTTATTGAATGTATTTATCCTGGAAAATGTCAAACCCACACAGAGTACGCTCTGTCTCTGATTCTGTGTTTTTAAACACTTTCCTCTCGGCTGCCGGGCAGAATTGCATGTCTGGGCACTTGGTGCAGGAGATCTCTCAACTTGACTGTCTTTCAGGTGGGGTGACCAGCTGCTCAGATGGAACGAGCAACAGAGACAGCCTCCGGTTTGATGATGAGGTCCCCTACAGTGGCCCCTTCTGCGGCCGGGCCAAAGTCCACACTGACTTCACACCAAGTCCTTATGACACTGACTCTCTGAAAATCAAGGTAAGACAACCACTTGGACTTCCTATTTCCCAGAAATGCCAGGGGAGGCATTTATTACATGTGAAGAATATGTTTACTTATGCATTTTTAAGTGTTAAACACATGTAACACTCTAAAAGCAAGACCCATCTGGTTTTGCAGTGCTTTTGTAAGGACTTAGTTCAGACAGTGCTGCAAAGCCAACTGCTGTTAAAGGCCTTTTAAAGCATAGATTCCAGGTAGGTACTCCATCATGGCATCTACATAGATACCACAGCTTTCCTCAGAGTAACATACATGTTGCTTCCCACATACTAGGTCTGGAGTAAGACTAAAATCTCCTGGGATGTGAAGTTGTCTCCCCAGCTTTTTCAGTCACAACCAGGATATATCAGAAGCTCAGTGGCACCCACTGTCTTTAAATAGATGCTGTTTGCCTTTCCACAAAGCTTTTCTTTAAGCCTACCTTTGAACTATGAACTTTCTTTGGCCCAGACATGGCAGGGGTGTCCAGGCTGTGTGAGTGAGGAAAAGGAACAACAGATGAGGCCCTAGGTGAACATTACTAAAAAAAGTCTGGCCCTTTTCTTCTCCTATTCACAAACACATCCAATATCATCATCCTTCTGACTACTCATGTCTGTAAATCTGGACCTCTTTAGCACCTTCATATCCAGATTATATTCATACTTCAGGACCTTTTCTTTTTCACAGCCTCTTCTTTTTGTCAAAATCCCCATCTGTATCTCATGCAGACTTCCTCTCCTCTCTGGCCTAACCTACAGCCATTGCAATGCTGGTACTTGCAGTCTTCACCATTTGCACTCCACTTCCACTGACATCTAGGGCATTTCTTTTAAAACAGTTTAACTGTAAACCAGCAAATATCTGTGGGTTCATATAAATCCCTTTTTTAGTCACTAGGATAGTGTATTTTAGAATTATATACTCGTACTTATGGTTGAAAACCCCCATATTTATTTCACAAGATTTCAGCACCCTGAATCTGAATTCAAAGTGCGTCTGCAGCTTGGCTTAGAGCCACTGCCTAATCCTGATCTGCATCCACATCTGAAGTTCCTGAGCCTGCATGAGTGTGTAGAACAACATGTGTGCTTATAGAGCTTTAAACAAATGTTTGTTTAGTTTCCGTTTCAAACGTGCTCACAGCTCTGAGCTCCATATTCTAACAAAACCAGGTCACCAGAACACAGTCAGTTTTGTACTTGGGTTTCTACCAAAACTAGTGTGACCACTTGACTTGCAGTTTCCTGACCAGACCAGAAAAGATCTAAAAGTTTTGTAGTTGTTAACATATATTTTTAACAAACTGTGTTTGATTTCTAACTTAGTAACAGAATGCCAAATGAAGCTGGCGTTTGTTGGATAACTCTTCGAAGATTTTCAACATTTTCATAAGTTCTGTGATACCTGCCAAGGAGACAGGACTCCCTGAAAATTTTGAGGTCCTGAGAGCAAGTTGTGTGGGGTGTATGACTTAAAAGGGAGCCTTTTTGCTACGAGAATTACTCAGTGACTTTTTTGCTGAGCTGAGGCTTTGATTCCCACAGTGTGGCTGTGAACACCTTTGCCAAAAAGCCCTCTTCAAGTAGCTGTGTTGTCACTCTTTTTTAGCACTCATATTTCTTAGTGAGTGGACAAGTGTGAAGAACTGAAGTCTCTAGATCTGTCTGCTAAGGCCCCATCCACTATTTTCTCTGTCAATTGTGATAATAGTAGTGGGAAAATTTGTCAGTCCTTTGGGAAGGACAGATAGGAAGGTATTAAGGGAGTTAAATGTTCTTTATTGCCTTTGAGAAATGTAGCCAGTGTTTTTTACTGTAAAATGGGTAAGTTCACCTTTCACATAGCTCAGCTATTGGTTTTTGAAGCCCCTTTAGGGGCTGGATAATAAGATTATTGTGTGAATGCTTTAGCACACATTCAGAAAATAACCTCACAGTGATCCCTTGCCTTTTGCAAAATCTGTTCCCACTGTCCATGGCAAAAGTTGATTGCTGATGCAACCGTATGCAAGTGGAGCACAAAAATGGTGAAGGGGGCTGCTTATGACCACCTTTCTTTCACAAAGGTATGGAGATAAGGGCTAGCTCAGTTTTCTGTAATTATTTTCATGAGAGTTTATAAAAGCAATGGTGCTAAATCTAGATAATTTTTAAAATGATGACTTTTGATCCAGAAAGGAAAAGCTGCAGATAACAAACCAGAGGTGTAAGCAGTCGTGTGCTTTTTTTGTTGTTCTAGAAAGGAGACATTATAGATATCATCTGTAAAACTCCCATGGGCATATGGACAGGCATGCTGAACAACAAAGTAGGAAACTTCAAGTTTATTTACGTGGATATTATCTTGGAAGAAGAAGCTGCACCCAGAAAGATAAACCAGCACCGAGGAAGCAAAAGGACCAAGCCTAAAACATTGCAAGAGCTCCTGGAATGTGTCCGCCTGCAGGTCAGCCAGCACATTTCCCAGCTCTTCGTGTAACGTTTCATTTCTGTGTGCTCGGGTTCGGATGCCATTTACAGGCAGGAGTAGAAAGGCAGGTTTCAACAGTTTTGATGTCAGCAAAGCAAGGCAGCTTCATATCTGTCTTTTATCTGACACGAGGGGCTATAGAACCGCATTTTATCACCTCATCTGGTCAGGGTAAGAGGCTCCACACAAAGAGGCACAGCGGTGACTTGTCAGGTCACCGTACCCTGACTGCAGTTGTGTGTTAAGTGCAGGAGGTGTGTGACTGTGGACAACCTGAGGACAGGACTGCAGTCTGACTCCAGTGCCAAAATCTAGAATTTGCGTTTCTAATTTCTTTTGGTCTTTAGGGAGCAATAGTCTTTTTGCACTGTGCTCGTGTTGCTTCTTTCTCCGTCTCTGCAGCCCTAGTTCTCGACTGAGCATCAAAGCGTAATGGGGTCATGATTTACAAGTAACATTTTTAATAACGGTAATTGCTTTGCTGCTGATGCAAACACTCATTTCCCTGGAGCACGCAGAGTTTCATACTGAGTCGACACACAGCTCAAGGGGGACCACGTGTGACACAGCATGGCTGGGGTCTGCCCCACCTTCTCACCCTTGCTTGTATCAAAGGGCTCCTTCTGTGCAAACACAGAGCACACCTTTCCTCAGAGAGCCCTCCTCAATCCAGCATGAGAGACACTCATGGAATGACCCACAAAAGTCCAGACACTTGGCAGGTTAAATAGTTTTGGCAGAGCTCTGTCCTGGCCCGATTTGCTGCCAGAGTCTGTTAGAGAGTTCAGGCATAGATGCTGGGAAGGCCAGGATGACCCCCAGGCATCTCTACCTCTGTCCTCTCTTGCTCTCCAGCTCTGGTTTTATGCCAAAGTCTAGTCAATCAGACTGGAGAATGGAGCCCATTTCAACCTGACAAAAAAGTAAAAGTGGAATTGTGCCTATTCCTCTACATAGTACTTGTTTCCATGAGAGGATTTGCTTGTTTCTTTTTGTAGGAATATGCCTCAACCCTCTTGCTAAATGGCTACGAAACTCTAGAGGACTTAAAGGATCTCCAGGAAAGCCACCTCATCGAATTAAATATTTCAAACCCAGAAGACAGGGCAAGATTGTTATCAGCAATTGAAAACCTACAGGATTGTGACAGTAAGTGTTTAAGCTTTGTTAAGAGTCATGTGCAAGCTGAAACATATTTAAAGAAATAGTCGTTCTCACATTGCTCTCTTAAATGATTTTTCTTTTAAATATGAAACATGGAGTCAGATGGTTTTCTTATTTGTTCAGATAGCAAGCCATACATCTCTTCTAGATATGTATATGATTACTATACTAGTAACACATGAATGATTTAAAATTTCTTATTTATAGTTCCTACACTAGAGATTAGTAGCAACTATTGCTTAGGAACAATCCTATCTATGGTTGGGGACTGAATCCTCCCAGAGGTTAAGTGGCTTCCCAAAACTCATAAGTCTGTGCAAGAGTAGAAAATAAAACCTCCCCAACTCTGCACTAATATATTAACCAAAATAGAACTTATTTTAAATAGCTGCAGTAAAGAATTTTTTTTAAATTTTTTTAAACAAGGTTCTGCAGAAGAATATGTGTTTTCCTTCCCTCATTTCATCCCACACTTAAATCCTTATCCAACTTAGTTTCTTTCGTAGAAAGGTTTTGTAAAAAAAAAAATAAATATACACTAATAACTGCTTTGCATTCTTTTCTCAAAATTAATCTAACTTATTTTTTTCCATAAGCTTCCAAAATCTGAACATACCGTGTGTGCGTATGCACATGTATTGATCACCATTTTGTTTTCTTCACTTGTTCCTTTCATGGGGAGTGGAAAAGCTAGGATACAGAACAGAAAAAAAACTACTCTCATGATATTTTAATGATGTTTCCAGTCTGACTTCCAATCTTAAATAATTTATGTCAAATTTGTAGAAACTACAGCTAAGCATCTACTTAATTAGACACTCAGCCAATACAGGAGATGTTTTCCTCTTCATTAATATTCGTGCATACTCACCCCTGTGCTAAGCAGTCATTTCGTCAAATGTGCACTTGCAGTTCAGTAGCATCTGAAAGAAAGAGAAGGGAAAACAATGACTTCCTGGTATATTTAAATATCAGTTATTGTCAGGCATCCACTTGTTATCTCCTCAGTCAGTAGGCAGCTTTCCAGTCTTTTTGTTCTGAATTTTTGGGCTTTTTTGGAACCCCTTTTGTACATTCAGTCTTTCCTGTTCTTATTCAGCTTCCAGGGAAAGGTAAGGTTCTGGCAAACACATTGGAGAGGTGTTAGAAAGTGGTTTTTTTGCCCTCCAGGTTCAAAAGTTCTTTCTGGTCTATGGCTCTGTGAGATGACAGGCTAGAAAAGGACTCCTGAAGGGCTGTCTGTGTAGAAACAGCGACTGAAATAGTGAATCCAAGAAAAAAAGGGTTATATTTTGCAAGAATTGTATTGCAGGGACCTATCTGGGAATCATCTGAAAATGTTCATACTGACTATACATGTATTAGCGTATACTTTGTGGTTAACTAGCCTTGCTGTGCTTTCTGCACCTTTTATTGCATATATTTTTTTCAATGTTTAACACCAAAAAATAGTGAAGAAAAATGCTAGATTGTAATTTTGCAGTTTTGCATCAGTGTGAAATCCAAACTGAAACATAATGGTTTTTAACAGACCACAGGAATGTTAAACTGTTCGTAGTGGTGAGGATATGGTTTACTATTTATGTTCCCTGAGTAACAAAAGCACAGCAATCAGCATCAGATATTGAACCTTTTTAGAATATAACACCAAGTCTTTTTTCTGAAGGTGTCTTAACACTTAATGTTCTACATACACCTGTGCAAGGACCAAACCTAACAAGTCTTTACGTGTCCCATACACTGAAAATTAATAAATTTACCTTTATTACCCAAATAGGGTTCTTCCTATAATAGAATCATGGGATTAAGTCAGTTCTCCAGGCAAACCAGTGTCCCTGATGTTATCTGTATGGTAGTCTAATAGTTCAAATTCTTGTAATGGTTCTTGAAATAATAACATTAAATCTTAGAAAGTGGTCCATGCTTTAAAATCAGTGATGACACTGTAGTCTTTTTTCAAGAGATGAAATGAGTATTTACTTCACATGCACTTTAGACAAGTATAGCAAATCTTTCCAGTATCCAAATTCAGTAAAATAATTTCCCCAGAATTTACAATTAGTCACAGGGACCAGAACCACAACAACTTTATATGTCATGCCAGCTGTAAACATTCATTTAAGTCCAGTTGAGTTTCACGAGACTCATGTATATTTTAAGGTAAGCCATGCATAAATACTTTCCCAGTTTGAATCTGGAATCGGGACTGGATCAAATCCTCGCTTTGCCTGGTTGTGAAAGGCTCATAGCACTTGTCATGTGACTGGTAGGGATGGAAGAGAATTTAACAACCTGCTCTAAAAAGGAAGACACTAAAGACTAAACTGGATAGAAGTTATCTGTTAAGTCTCTATAACGAAAGATGAGGTGTCAAGATGATGTTGGGGATAAGCTCAGCGTGAGTCTGACGTTGTACAAATCATTTGACCTCTTTGTCCTTCTGTCAATCAGATTGGAAAATTGGGTTGAAAGAGCTGGGTGCTACTGTGAAAGTGAATTCTGCATCTGAACTGAACTTTCCTGGGTCAATATTTTTTTTTTTTTCTAAATGGGCATGGCTCAGTCCGGCATAAATGATTTTTTAATTAAAATTGATTTTCTGCATTGCTTAGAAGTGAGCTGCATAATTACCCACAAATACAAGGTAATCTGTTTACTGGCCAAGAGTATTCTAATTAGAATTTCAGCACTTTTCCAGGTAAAAGTTCACTTTTATTATAAACTTTGTGAAAAAAAAAAAAAGATACTAAGGCCATAGACCATATTTACTCTTCTAAGCCCATCTTTCTCACAGAGCTTGGAAGACTTCCATGTCTCTGAATTGCATTCATACTTCCATGGAGCATATGTTTGATTAATGGATGGAGTGTCAGGTATGGTCCAGAGTTGAAATACAAGGGTTTCTGAGTTTTTGTGACTCTGCTATTATTCAGAACAGCCAAGCATGTTGGAACAGAGCTTCATTTTACTAGATTCTACTATAATTGTAGTAAAGCAGGATGTCATATTTTTTTAGTGTGTTATCTGATCTTTTGAGATGTTCGGATGCTTTTACAGGGCTTTTAATTTCTTTTTCGCTTCTTGGCTTTTTCTTTATATTTATTATGTATTATACTAAGTGATTTCTTCATGCCACATACTTGTGGCTATATGACTCATTTTGCAGAATAAATATTTTCCATTCAAAAGACCTGCAACAATAGTTTCCACATTATATGCTTCTTAAAACCATGCAAAATGTAGGATTTTTGGCAGTGAGAATTTTTTAATCTTACATTTGATTCAAACCTGAATGAATTTGAAATGAAAAAATTGCCCATCTCATACCAGAAATTAAAAAGTAAGTTTTATTTAGCAAGTGCTACCACATAGTGTTTTTTAAGCAGATTTTGCTTCCTAGCACTGCACTATCTTCTTTCTATGTTTCCTGAGAGTCCGGACCCAAATTCATCATCTTCAATACTTAACAGAGCAAGGCTATCCTAGAACTGCAAGGTCTTGTAAGCTCTTCATGACCTTTCCTCCCTTCCCAGATCTCTTTTTAGATTTTCTATAAGTTGATCAGACCTATATATTTGGGACAAAATGATTGGTTTTCATGAATTCATGGCTTGTGAGGGGAAAAAAAAGGTCTTTTTTGTAAAGTATTTCTTAATAGCTTTCCATTCTTCTCCCAGATGGCTCCTAGACAGGAGATGGATGTCTGTGCTTTTTTAGGATGCTATTTTTAAAGTGAAGCAGTTGCTGGATGGTTAATGAATAAAGTAATAAAAGAAGTTTTGAACTTTTTTTTTTCTTGACCGCTTCCCAGGACGCACGTTTTTCTGTGTGCATAATAGGCTTGATTCTCTTCTCACTTAGATGATTTAAGTCAAGAGGTTCATCCCTAAAGTCCAGTGGGTTACATTAGGCTGAAGCTATTCTGAGCTAAAGAAGAATTAGACTTGATTGGATATGTGCATACAGTTCATTTTATGGAAAAAAAAAGGTGAATATGTGCAATTTGGGGGATAATATTTTATGCTTATCTCCCCAAATCCTTTCCTTAGCTTACTTTTCATATTTAAGTGCAGATCATACTCTAAATTCTAATGCCAGTTCCAGATAAGATTTGTTCTTATTTGTTGTACTTGGACAGCAAAATAGTAATTAGCTAAGGACATGACTTCCAGTTCTCAGGTGCATTCCTTACGTGACAATCAAGCATCAAGAGTACTATTTTACACTGGGCAATGCCTTTAAATACGTGAGATCACACAATATCATGTCAAGGTCAGATAGTGCTCAAAGACAATCTCTCCTTCTGTACTCTGGTACAACTCATTGGCCTGGACATAATATTTCCAGATTTCCCAAGGAAGCTCATCCTTGCATGAATATTAGTTTATTTCACCTTTTCTAAAGGCACATCTGTTTGCTTCCAGATTTTAGAGAAAAAAAAGAAGCTTCTCATTTCTGTTTCCACCATACACTCTCACATCAGTTCAGTAACTTTTCCCTCCCAGAAAAGCTATGCCATTGGCTTCAATGAGAGCAATTTTTTCAGTTGCATGTCTGTACATCCACAAAAGGTTTACTCCTTTTGGTGCCCAAACTATTGCACAAACCCGTTCAGGTTTCTCTGCTTCTTTTTCAAGAATTATTACCCTCTACTGCTTCAAAATGATCCTTTCTGAGTTTGATGCTTTATGAGTTTTCATTTCATTTTAACACTTAGCTGGTCTAACTGGTACAGGCACCACAGGTTGATACATGGCCTTCAGATATACCTAGGAGATCTAAATTCATGCTCAAAGACACACTTTCTTCAGTGATGCCCGGTGACAGGACAATGATAATGGCCAAAAACTAAAACACAAGAAGTTCCACCTCAACATGAGGAAGAACTTCTGTCCATTGAGGCTGGCAGAGCACAGGAACTTGCCTAGGGAGGGCATGGAGTCTCTCTCTCTGGAGACATTCCAAACCCAACCAGATACACTCCTATATAACCTGCCCTCCGTGACCCTGCCTAGGCAGGGTGGTTGGCCGAGGTGATATCCAGAGGGGCCTTCCAACCCTAACAATTCTGTGATTCTGTGATTCTATCTAGTTACTACATCATGCTGCTCAGCACATCACCACTGCACCTTCCAGGAAGACAGGCCAGTGACTCAGCCTAAAGCACTATACTCCTAGTCCAGTTCTCCTCCTGGACAAAACTCATGAAGGCAAACTCTCAGAGGGCACACTCATGAAGTATGGCTTGCTGCTTGGTGACCTTCTTTTTGCCCAAGAAAAAAATCCAAGCCTTCGTTCCACTCATCTGGTTTAAACTGGCACAACCACACAGGAGTCAGTGTGACCCCTGTACGTTCTTGAGCTGAATTGCCTTAGACCTAAGCTTAAAGTGCTCTCCTAATCAGGACTTTAACCTCATTAAGAAAGGGAAAAGAGCTGGTGAAGGGAAAAAGGAGTCTATCCCTGCATGTGTCATGCACATCTATGTCACTGAGTAACAAACCCTCATTTTAAAGATCTAAGCAGCGGGGGAGATAAGTATGCATCACACGTCTCCTACCAAGGCTAAAGGCCTCACATTTTTTTTCAGAAGTCTGAATATAATCCTACCCGTCTAAAGTAGTACTGGAATATATGTGTCAAAATGATGCATATCTTGGGCTCTTCTGGCCATATCACAGACAACAGTGACTGAAAGCTATTTATCTTATGTGAAGCTGCTTTGCTGTAGAAAAATGATAGGACTCCCATGCGTTGATAAGATAGTTATTTCCGATGATTCTGCAACATCTAACAGCAGTTTAATTTTATCAATTCCTGTTTTCTGTGCATCGTAGTTTTCTTCTGATGTCCAAAAGATCAAGGCAGCAAACTTACCTTTACTTGAACATATAAGTGCTAGAGAAAGGACTTAAGTGGAATCGAATATAAGAGCAAAAAGCTTAAAAAAAGAAAAAGAAAAAAAAGAGCAAAAGTTGCTTTGCTTTTCTCATGAAGCGACATCTAAAACTGCATGCTGTATGTATTTTTAATACTCAGTATCCTGTTCAAGTGGTTTAGTACTTACTGCATAATATTTAAGGCACCTTTAAAGAGAAAAAAGGTGTCGAAGTTTACTTTCAGTCTTTTCTTCTTAAATATGGAGGGGGAGGGCTTATCTTCAACTTTTTCTGCTCAGAATGAAAGATAGAAAATACAATATTTTTGCTGTCTCAAAAACCTGGATATTTAGTAAGTTTTTCATGTAAGAAAAATTCTACTAGTGTTATAGGAAGTTTTACATATTTGTATGCTTTGTAAATAAAGATTTCTTATTCTCCTAACTGATCTAAATTCAAATTAAATAAAAATTAATCTTAGTTCCAGGCTTCCATTTCAGCCTTTTCCCCTGAAACACACATGGGAGACGTTGATACAAAACAAATTTAGGACCCGTTGTTCACATGGGAACTACTCAAATTATCTAGACAACTAGTTACAAGGCATTAATACACTGACTGAAACTGCGTTTTCCTTTTAACCCGCTAGTTACTTGATCTTCCCATGGTAAAACAAAGTGGATGGAGGCTCCTCTCTGACCTTGAAAATGTAAACAGGATTAACACTTTTTTAGGTCAGTGCTTGCCGGGGCAGCAGATGATGCTGGGGAAGCAGATAAAAGCACCAGGGAGCAGCATTAGGCTGATGAGGGGATTAGGGTGGAGGCGGGCAGGGAGCGCTGCCCACGGCCGCGCAGGAGGCTCCGGGTGCTGCCCGGGACCCGCGGGGTCTGTGCCCGTGGGATGGGGCTGCGAGGAGCTAATGACACGGTTTAGACAGGGCTTTACTGGGGCATCTGCTGGTCTTTGTGCTAAACTACTCCGGTGGCTACGAATAGCAGCAGTAATGCCTTCGCTGGTGTAATGCCTTTTGTAATTCCTTCCTGACTAAAATCAGAAATCAATTGGACCCTACATGATCAAATATTTTCCCTGCAAAGAGAGATAACATTTGACATGACAAACTGTGTTCTGTAAAGTGAGAAGGAGATCAAAGAGTTACAGATATCAATTACATCTGCTGAAACGTGTACTCTTTCACGCAAGTGCAATTAACCACTAATTTATTTGGGTACAAGGTGGAACTTTTATTCCTTGGAATATATTTAAAGTAATTTTTAAAATTATTTTTAAATACATCAGGTTATGTCTATAGCCTCAGGCTTAATGCAAAAATGACAAAGTTGAGACTTTGGATTCTTTTCTTCAAAAATCAGATTAATTTTTCGACTTATTTAGGCAATTGAAAGTTAGAAAATATTAAACAGACTTAATTAGGCCAAAGAAATCTATGAGTCTTCCATCAAGATCTCAAAATGTTTCTCAATATACCACATTGGTTTGTTAAATAAGTTTGTTGAAATCTCACACAATGAAAAAGGTTTCTGAAGAAATTCTCCTGCTGTTCCATTTCACTCTAAAAGTGAAACATTTCAATTTTTCATTTCTAATTTATGCTTCATTATACAATACAAGATTTAAAAAAAAAAAAAATCAAATATAAAGTCTTTTCCCACTTTAACAAATCTTATAATTTCCAACAATTGAAACAAGAGTCAGTATGAACTTTCTTTGTGGAAATTTTAAACTTTTGGGACCTAAACTGGATTTAGCTTTTGACACAGTATTAAATCTTTCATATATTAGGACTTCCAGTCTGCCTGAACTTGAATGGAGACAGTTTAAACATGACTCAAAATCTAAAACTAACTATTTAACCATGGAGTAACAAATCAAGTGAAATAAGGGAACTGTCTTTGTAAAAGCAAAAAGGTTCCATTTTTCTGAAGAGCTAAAAGTCTGAGGTAAAACCATCTGTTTCCTCTGAGACTTGTTCCCCATACTTTGGAAGGCCAGACACAGTTTGAAATAAAAATTCAGTTAGGGAAGGGTGATAACAGCACACACACACACACAAAAGTACAAAAGGGAAAGGTTTTATATTTTATAGTTTATTTTCTTAAGAAATGTACTGTGAGTAAACATCACGTATCTCAAAGCCAGAAAAGAGGAATACACAATTTAAAAATGAGATAAATTAGAGTAATGATATACAGGTATGTCCTGTCTTGTTGAGCTTTTTTTTGAAAGGTCTGTTGATACTCTCACCGAGTTGCATTTTTGAGTTTCAACAGATTAGTCATACAGCAGCTAAACAAGGACAAATTATTTGCAAGATAATTTGCTTCTACTCAGTTTTTGAACAAGGACAAATTATTTGCAAGATAATTTGCTTCTACTCAGTTTTGGAAAGCTGTTCAAAAAACATACAGCAGAAATCAGGCATCTCAGCTTTCTCTGAGGTCTCTGTGTTTTGGAAAATAACCTTCTGGATACCTTCCTAAGCTAAGCTTAGGAAGTTTCCATCAGGCACCCACTCGCATTGAAGAGTTCAGTGCTTTAGAAAACCTGGTTACCACATCTTTATGCCGAGCACTTCTGAAGACCAGCACATTTTATCTCCCTACACAGCACACAGTGCATATCAAATGGTGGGGGTTACAGTCAAAAGGCACAACATCTATAATGCAACATGTCATAAACATGAAATTGCCTGGGCAGACTCTGGAACACACAAACATAGATGTGTATCTGCCATCTGTGGGCATGGTGACCTCACACGGCAACTGTGGGCAGCCTAAAGGGCCTCAGGCTGAAGGACGAGGCCAAATTCTCCAGAATTCATCTCTGAGAAACATACCGAAGGATAAAAACCAGCCTCAACGTCAACTCAGATGTTGTTATACTCGTGTGACCATATTTTTAGTTCTTTGATTCTGAGGTTTCTGTTTCTGGTGGACAAAAGATATTGATCTAGTCATGTGTATGTTACCAGCTCCGTTTCTAAAGTTCAAGATCAGTCATGCTGCTACCTCAAGCTCTTTCCCAAGATGCTTATTTTGACAATTTTTTTTTCTTTCTTTTTCTGTTCTTTCTAGCTGAACAACAGCAAAAAAGTGAGGATGGTCAGGAGACACAGAACTTAAGCCCTCACCCAGACTCTGACAAATCACAGTTAAATGACTGTCCAAGAGATTCTGGCTGTTATATCTCATCAGAAAATTCAGATAATGGCAAAGAAGAAGTAGACCCAGAAGCCCTGTCTGACATGGTGCAGTCAATAGCAATCACTGAGTCAAACTGATTCAGTCCTGCTGCTTCTCTGGAGATTTTCGAAAAAGACAATCGGATTTGGCAGTATGATGGCACAGAAGCAGAATGCAAAATATTCTCAACACCAAAAATCTACTTTTGTCTGATGTATGATGCTCTAGACTGTTTAATACGTGGACACTTGATAGCTAAATGTTAGTTGATAATAAGAATATCTCACATTTTTCTTTTCAATGAATTCACAGACTTTTCACTGAAAAAGTTTATACATAAGTATTTATAAATATTTGTACAGCGAATGCATTTTCTATAATAATAGAGATATTTTTTAGGTAGTGGTTCATAATCTGGAAATGTTAATTTCTGGAACTGTCTAAAATGTAAATATTGTATATATTTATTTTAAAAATATATGGATTGATCACACTGTCTCTATTTTCAGCTGTGTTTTGCTGATATATGTACAGAATGTACTTTCATTGGTATATCATCATAATAAAGAGTGGATATATTCAAACTCTACTTTGAAAAGTACCAAGCTAATTCTCATTAATATTAAAACTGTTTCATAGCACTCCTCTCCAAAAGGAGCTCTAAAGTAGACTATCATCTCCTGTACTTTATCTTGAAGGCATGAAAGAACTGTAGGGTGAATCTGAATCTAGTTCTCTGTGTTCCTTATCTTTTAGAAGAACACAGCCACCCGAATGGCTTGTGCAGTGGCAATTCTTTTATGGTTATTTTCACCTGTTCTCATTTGTCCCAAGCATTACACAGAGAATGCAAGCTTGGAGAAAAAAAAAAAATCAGTATCAATGTTATGCTTTTATGATAATCTTTTTGTGAAGCTGTTGCCTTTTGTGTGTGGTGTGAAGTTTGTTAATAGAGTATTTGTTTGTATACAGAACTCGAAAGCTAACGTGGTTATTGTGCATGATTGTCTTTCATATGAGATTTTATTGTCTTTTCCCAGTATATTTCACACTGGAATGCACATTTTAACCGCCTGTCTTCTTTTAGAGTACTTCCTTCAATAATAAACAGAAGCATGTGTTTAAGCCCTTTAAAAACTACTTGATTTTTAATGTGGTCATTACATTTCAAAGACTGTTCTCTTCTAAGACTAACACAGTAAATGGCAACTCCATTGAGCATTTTTAGCATGCATAATAATCTGTGTATCAAATCAATAGAAAGACTTTTTGCGCACTCATTAGTCACACAATTTTCATAATTTAAGGCATTTTGCATTTATTTTAAAAAATTTCACACATATTGCTGACAGTTTGAAAGAAAATCACCTTCAGAAGAGATGAAACACAGAAAGTTCCACCTCAAAAGGAGTATTTCTGAAGAAGCTATAAACAAATGGAAAGCTTTTCTCTCTTTCTTTTTTTTCTCCCAGTGTAAATACTTTCTGTTCTTTTCATGACACCTCAACTGACTACTGCTGTCAGACTCCTAATATACAGATCTGCTTTGAAGGCTGTAGCATAAAAATTGCAATTTTAGAAAATGGCATTAACTAGGTTTCAAAGATTTGGAGTAAATACACTCTATTTAGAAAAATAAATGAGGAAGGGAGCTACTAAGATTTGGTTTTGGTTTTAACTTACTTTTTACACTGGAAACAAGCATCATTATTTAGCAGGAATGACCCCATACCGCCAGGCATGGTGGGGATGGAGGATTGTGAGAGCTTGTGTCAAGCAGCTACATTTGTTAATGCTTTTCTAGCCAGTAGTGCATCATGACATGCAGTACTGACATTGCTTAATATGACTGAACATCTGAAATAATGTATTTGGATTGGCTTCTATCATCTCCTCATTCTAGAGGAGGACTAAAGTCAGCCTGAATTCCTCTAAGAGTGGCCTCTCTTTTGGCTTTTGTGGCAGAGGCGCTTAGTCTTCAGGTTGCTTCTATCTAGACATCTGTAAAAATGCTGAGCCTGTAAATAACATGTTGAGGTGAGTTTAAGTATGATTAGGACTGTCAAGAAACAGCTAAGTTAGGTGGGTCAAGGGCTAATGACCCCAGAGACCAGAGATGTATCCTGATATAAATACTCCGAGAAAAGTTAATTTGCGTAGATTTGGAAACAAAAATAGGTCTCCCTAACTAGTTACAGTGAGACAGGCAAAGCTTTCAACAGAGCAGAACACCCAACAGCTGATTTATTTTACAGGAATTAAACTCTCAGGAGCTTGAGGTGATGGTAAGAGTATAAAGGTGTGAGGTTAACTAGTTGGGAATGAAGGGCATGAGCTGTGGCTTACCCACTTCTGTCTCTAACCAGTAAGGCTCTATCCAAAGGGCTTCTTATTTAGAAAAATGTATCAACTGAAGGCTTTTTTGAGACATTTGTAGCTTCCTGCGAAGGCAGAGCAGATTAGATCTCAAACTGAGAAACTTCCGTTCTCTCACATTATTCTGAGAAAAAGAATGAGGAAATTTGGTACCACAAAGTAAGAAAATGTGTTTTCTACAAGAAGCATACCCAGCTTTCTTTCATCTTTCAGTAGTCTCATTAATCACACTGATCATGGACTAAACTCTTTGTAATAGCACCAACATTTCTCCAACTGGCTTTAGTGCTGGGTAATCTGAATAAAAAATAATTCTAGGAACTGTTGGGAAAAGTCTGGTGCAGATCTTAGCTCCTTTTGATCTGTTAATCTCAAAAATGTCCCGGACACAGGGAAGAAAAGAAAGCAGTACAGGTTTTGTTCCTCTCTGTCACTTGCTCAGTAGTGTCATGTCCCTTTTCATTTTTATTAACCTTTCTCTACCATTAAGGAGGACCAAAACATTTGTAAGTCTCTTATTTGGAGGTAACTGAGAGTCCACTGCTCCCTGCAGTTACAAAGTGTTGCAGAACCACTCAGTGACAGCAGAGGTGAAGCTAACGAGGGTAGTCCTTCTGGCCTTCACCCTGGGGCTGTCCTGAGCCTCAGAGGCTGCGCTGCAGCTGCAGCAGACTCCCCCAGGGCTGGGGCACTGGGCTGCTGCTGACACGTGTGCTGCTGCCTGCCCACAGCAGAAAGCCACTAACTCAGAAAGACTTTGGGGACCCACAGATAAACTCAGGTGGTGGTGAGCCCCATCCTCCCCAAAGGAGAACCAGCTCTGGTCAAAGTCAACACCGCATTTAGCAGCACTGCCTCATGCTCAGCCGCATTTGACTGCTGTTCACAGCTGCACCACATTAAAGGAGGGCTGCTCCACCAGCAAAGAGGGCAGCTGAGTGCCAGATCACAGCCCTGTGATCCATGTGGACTAGCCTGCAAATCCCAGGAGTCAGCATCCTGCTCTCCAGGCTTTGTAACAAAACTTCTGAAAGTCAGAGAGCATAATTGCATCAGCATAGAGGCTAGAAACAAGGAGGGTTTTGCTTTCATTTTGCTGAGGTGGGAATGAGCACAGGAAGCATATGGTGGAACGTAGGCAGACCTGTGGAAATTCTGGAGGAGACTCGTCTCTGAGGGACTCAACTAACCACTGGCTGCCAGCTGGACTTTGCCCAGCAGTCCAGCCAATTTTCCACCCAGCTTTCCAGCCCATACCTCACCAAGCCTACCACTGAGTGGCCAGTCTCTCCAGTGATGTGAAGAAACCCACAGCTTGTCAGCTGTGATATAAAAGCTGCCTTTATACCGCAGTGCCTTTTCCCAGGTAGTGGCAATTCAAGTAATTTCTAGCATTGTCACGGAGCTGCATCACACTGGCAGAATCTTTAGAAGGCTGGTGCAGAGATAACAAGCCAATATTGAAAGAAAAAAGGATACCTTGGGTGCTGTGAAACAGGCCAGTTTCTAGATGTCACTGTGTTCACAGGATGAGTACAACCTGCCCCTTCCCTGGAAATTAGCTGTTCCATCAAGTCAAGATCCATATAGTCCTTTCTGCCCACAGATAAACACATATATACACACACAAACAGATGCCTGGCTCTTTTGTCATGTCAGAGGGAAGTAATTTCAACATGTATAGTAACAGCTTGGCAAACCTCCTGCCTCTTTTTCACAGCTCAAAGATGAGGTTTTGGGCTACGTTAACCACTGAGGAGATTATTTGCATCATGCTCAGAGGTCTGTGGGCTGTGTATATTGTACTGCTGCTCTGTGCTCTTTGGTCAGTTCCAGGAACACAAGACATGGGATAGTATAAGCATATTCTTTTGGTCTAAGAGTTCCTGCATGAGGTGTTCACTTGCATCCCGGATCCTTGGCTCCTGGTAGGCAATAAGCAGATATTTGCCTACAGCTCAGGAGAACGTAGAAGAGCCTATAATACATCTGTGTAGAGCTTTCAGTTTGTATATCCCCAGTGCCTGTCTTACCTGATGAACCCATAAACCTGTAGCTCTTTTTCTGCCTCTAAAGTCCTGAGGGCTGGCCAGAGGTCTGGCACTGGCTGGAATCCCTGCTGCAGGCTGACAATCAGCCACTGACTTCGTCAAGCCTTTTACTGCATCCAGCTCTGGGGTCCCCAGCACAGGAAGGACATGGGCCTGTTGGAGGGAGTCCAGAGGAGGCCACAAAGTTGATTAGAGGGGTGGAGTACCTCTCCTACAAGGAGAGGCAGAGAGAATTGGGGTTGTTCAGCCTGGAAAAGAGAAGGCTTCAGAGTGACCCAGTTGTGGCCTTCCAGTACCTGAAGGGAGCCAAGAGGAAAGATGGAGAGGGACTATTTTAAAGAGTAGTAGTCTGGACAAGGAGGAATGTTTTCAAACTGACAGAGAGTAGGTTTAGATGACATATTAGGAAGAAATCCTTTGCTGTGAGGGTGGTGAGGCACTGGAACAGGTTGCCCAGAGAAGCAGTGGATGTCCCATCCCTGGGAGTGTTTAAGGCCAGGTTGGATGGAGCTCTGAGCAACCTGGTCTTGTGAAAGATGTCCCTGTCCACAGCAGAGGGGTTGGAATAGATGATCTCTAAGGTCTCTTCCAATGCAAATGATTCTATAATTCTGTGATTCTACAATTACCTGACCCTAGGAGAAGGCTGGTCTGTTCCTTACAAGACCAAAAGAAGTGGTGACAAACCTTCTATTTTCTCCTGTCTAGGAAAGGCCAACAAATGCCACTACAAGTACATGGCAAAAAGGACTGGGAAATAGTAATAAATTCAAGCTAACACAACTGTTAAATCTACTGATTTGCATCATGTATGCGTAATTAACAGCAGTAACCGCAATGAACCTGAATTTCTTGGGAAATACATATTCTCTTGAAAGAGGAAACAGGTGGGAGGAGGTCCATGATAGGCTTGGAGGGTTTGAGAAGGTCATTTCATTTTCTGTGTCTTGGCAGAATCTGTTCTGACATGCCTAGAAATCTCTGCTAGTCATGAGAACTCTCTGCTGACAGTAAGAACACAGAAAATCTGCCTGTGCCAAGAATTCATACACAAATGAGGGACAAGAGGGCTGGAGGGCAAGCGGTGTTCCTTAACGGTTCATATACCTCGGCTGCTTAAGTTAAACCTGGCCAGTGTCCCACAGTGTGCATGTTCCTTGGGCAGAGCCTACATGCCTTCACCTCCTAAGGCCTGTTCCCCATGCCAACCAAACACATGAATACCCCCCTACTCACTGATGTTCTGACATGGGGCTGTGGCAAAGCCTGGGCTTTCTCAAATGACCCATGTTCAGGGAACTCAGGTTTCAGAGTTTGTTTCTCCATGGGTCCTCTGTGCTTACAGTGAGTGAAGATTAGAGTAACCCTTACTACTGTCCTATTACTTTCCCACGTATGGAAGGGCTCTCCTATCGTGTGCCATACACGGGTTTTTAGGGTGGAACATCAGAGGTGTAGACACGTTGTGCAACTCAGCATTAGGACATGGAGACAAGTCAAGACTGTGCAGGATCATAGGGTGGTTTTGACAGACTGTGGACAAGCTGGTTGACACTGTTTGGCTACCAGTCAAATCCATATGGCCGGGGGAGGACACGGGAGGATTTCAAACTTAATCGTCCCCAAGCCTTAGCTTTCCTGCAGAAAGAAGGAACCAAACTGTGTGAATCACAGCTCCCCTGAATGTAAATGAACACA